ATCAATAGAAATAATACCCAGAAACCCATATTCAAAAGTAGTCATCGATGAAAACAGCTGGTCTCAAAATCAACTTTAAGAAATCATTCCCGGTAAATGAACAAAGAAAAGAGGGTTCGCCAGTGACCAACTGCTCCCCTCCTTTCCTATATGTATGTTCCTACTCCCACTTGCTTGCAGTTCCTTTTAGATCATGGAACTCCAATGTCTGTAAGTCCTGTCTAACTACAGCCCTGCCCTTAGTTATCGGTCTCTTTGACAGTCCCATCTGCATCTCGTCAAAGACCTCATAATCAAGCTCTCCAACTTCCACTCCTTAGCATTTCGGCAAACTTCAAATAATTCTACAAAAATCTTCACCTTTGTACCCTCAATCCTGTTGGTAACTCTCAAATTTTATTGCTTCTTCTCAACACCCTTCTTCCTTGGTAGAAAAGCAACGACAAGTAACTGTGAGTTCTTCCTTGTCAACTCTCTCTCATCTCGAGTTTTCCATATCAAATACTCATGTCCTTCCCCCCAATTGTAATTTGATATCCTCTGATGTACAGTGGGTTGCTCATCTACATGGCAATATGCTCAGGTTCTTGGGCATTGAAATTAACATCCTCTGTTATCCATCTAATTGCAAAACCATAAATTGGTAGCCTCCAGATTGTTTCCCTGTCTGTCTAGGAGACCTAGTACCCTGCAACATGCCATCAGAAGGAATAAAAGTGCACCAGTGCTCCATTTTTATTTTTTTACTTCTCATATTCTAAAACATTGAGCATATGTTTCGTTCAAGTTTATAATCCCTCAAACTACTTTTTATCCATATATTTCAAGGAACCCACATGCACTAACCCACTGATCTACCACTCATTTTTAACAATTTATAATTTCAACGGTTTATAAACACTTACTAAACTTGCTTTGAAGTTGTACTCTTGCTTTGAAGTTGTACTCATCAACATTTTTTTGCTGTGTAATATTTGATGCATCTCACTCAAAAGCATTTTGATACAAATCCATGATATTGAAGAAAGATATATCTGAACATCAAATTAAATGCTCGTCATAGAATAAGCTTGTGAATTTCGTGGAAAGATATTGTAGAGTTTCCTTCCCTGACACAAAAAATGTGGTTTTGGCAGGCACGAACTGGACTGACAAATTTATGAAATCAGGATACCTTTTTCAGATACATTTAAGTTATTGAATTAACAACCTAATCGTCAAGTGATCAGAAAAAAAGAAAGAGATTGAGATTGATTTGAAACTTTCTTCTAGCAGTATTTATGCAGCTGAACACAATGGACCATGAACTTAGCTTTGTTGTGGTCAAACTGTGTGAAATAGTAAATAGAAATCACATTACAAGAAAGAAGCCCTAAATTTTCCCGGGGAGAGAGTAGCCATCTCTTGCTCCTCTCTTTAGTAATCATTATCATCCCCCCTTGCCAAAAAAAATAAAAATGCACACCTCCTGAAACCCCTAAATCTAATCCACTATTAAACAGTACAATGATGCAGATAGCGTAGGCCAAAAGTTGAATAGGATGTAAGCAGGAAAAACTATGTAGTTCCAATGTACAATCAATCAACACGTGTAGCATATTTTGTAAGAAGTATATGGCTTTTGCTTTCACACAGAATCACTCAGTAAGCAGTCAATCAACCCAATCCACATTGGTATGATAGATAATCAATATATATCTTTAGATAGTACACAGGGTTCGTAAAAGCTGAATATGATTTTCACTTTCTTCAAGGAACCTTGAGACTTGTACTTCCAAGAGTGACAATTTACTAAAACAGTACGTATAAGTGGCGTAAGATATTGAAACCTGTAAATGGAATAGCTTGGGTTCGTCAATTACCCTATAGATTTAGTCCATAAACTGAAATATTCTTTCGAAACTTCAACAATTCCATGCAACCCAAGTAACAGCCTCCAAGTGATATTTCTCATGTGTTAGCTTGAAAAAACTGACATCTATAGATAAGTAAAAAATCACCCTTTAAAAAGCCTTTTTCCGGTGCTTTAGAAAAGGACTGACTTCACGTTTAGAATAGAAATAACTTTGAATAAGATGATTTCACCCTTTCTAATAAAAAAATGGTTGAAAATATGAAAACACTAATTGCAGATAAGAAGAATGGAAACCTATGGAAATGATTAGTGCCCAGATTGAGCTTCATTCATATGTACCTAAATGCTATCTTCTCCGGACTTAAAAATATATATACTTCATAAAACTAAAAGTCAAAATAATAATAATAATAATAAAACTAACAAGTTGCAGTGAAAATGGATTAAATAGGATTACAAGCTAGAGCAAACGTGAAGAAAATGAGCCTTATTCGTTCAACTAGAGTGCAACAGGATGGCTGATAAAGAGCATGGAGTCAGCCTGCCAAATATAACTGGTTACATAGATAGTACCTACCTAGTAGTTACATCTCCACTATCACATATTCTTAGTCCAGCTAACAAGTATAAATTTTTTCGAGACATAAATAGCACATAGTCTGACTATAGAGCTTAGTTGGTTGACACGTGAATGGCACTTACCTAGAACTTAGGACTCAAACTATAGCATATAATAATCATCTAGATCACAAAACCCTAGTCATTGGTGTCAATATATGTTTTCGGTTCCATAACCCATTGAAAAGCCATCACATCATATTGAAAACTGTAACTTGAGCGTTCCATTACAAATTCTTCTATGGTCCCTTTGAATCCAGTCATACCCAAAATAACATCTAGAAAAAGCTATATCATAATCATCTAAACCAGAAAAGCCTAGTAATTGGCGTCAATATATGTTATCGGTTCATAACCCATTAAAAGAAATCACATCATATTGCAAATTTTAAATTAAGTGTTCCATTACAAATTCTTCTATGGTCCATTTGGATCCATCATACCCAAAATAACATCTAGAAAAAGTAATTTTTAATGACGTCAACAAAAAATAGTCCAGTAAGATTCACCTAAATGCTTGTTTCAAAAACCATTTAACCAGCAATTCCTTTGGTTATCATTGAGAAATTAACTGGGCGAAAGCTTACTAAAAGAAACTTGAAATTACAAAAAACATTTGCATGCATGAATACAAAAATTGAGTAACAGATCTGGGGCATGTACCTATATAAGTCTGGATTGCAGACTGAAGATTAGTGTATCTTTTATTGGCACACTCTTTGAGCATAGACTCAAATGCCCGCGTCACAAACCCACCTGCTGCACCCCCTGCCATTTTCCTGCCCTTTCTTCCTCTATTCAATCGAATTTCCTGTCAAAATTTGTGGCGGAAATAAATACTGGGATTAGATTAGATGAGACCTGGAATTTTTAAACACTTTATTCGAGATCTTGGGTTCTGAATTTAAATAATTTGTAGGGGAAATGAAGAAATTGTTACCTTTTTTCTTCTTCACAGGTGCGAAATACGTAACACCGAAGAAAAGTCAAGAGATCTGGCCTAGAAACAAATGACTGAATAGATGGAGAGATTGTGCACTTGCAGATTTTATGCTGTGACGCGCCTGATTTTATATTGCTCTTGAGAATCCGACGGGGATTGTGGAAACAATGAACCCCATAGTCGCATTTGGCTCATCCATGCGACTTTAGTTGGGACTTTAATTATTGAGGAAATTACAAAAAATCAGTGGTTTAAACTTCCTAATTTGAAGATCACTGTACATGATATATGCAAAGTGGAAATTACAAAAAACCAGTTGTTTAAACTTCCTAATTCAAAATTCAGATACAAGTTTTATCTAATAAAAAACCAGGTATGAATTAAATATTTAAATAATATTATAATACTAATATTTTAAATCTTAATTCATTTTCAATCCATATTTTCTCTCACCCTCTCATCTCTCTCTATAATCGGGTCGTCGACGCTGCCCATCTCTCTCCACAACGTCGCCAGCAGCGTTCATGACATCTCCCACTCCAACTCTCTCCCTCGTCTCTCTACGTCCGACGTTGTTGGTAGCAACGTCACAACAGCGTCGCACGACGCTAGCGTTCGCGGGATGTTTGCCGTTCGCGACTGTCGGCTGCCTTTCGTAGGGTATGTGCAGCTAGTGGGTGTGTGTGCTATGCGTGCGTGCTGTAAATGGTAGCCGACGAAGTGGAGTTGTGGTGATGGTGTTGTGTCGGGGATGCGGTGTTGGTGTTTGACTGCAGATGTGGTGTGTGGTGGGTTCAGACCTGGTTGGTGGTGGTGTTGATAGTCTATAGTTGAATGCTGCGGTGGTGGTGGGTGTGTGTGGGTGCAATGCATTGGTATTGGCGGCGTGGGTGTGTGGTTTTTGACCAGTCGTTGAGTATGTTGTGGGTTGGTAGGTTCAGATCTCGTTTGATGGTGGTGCTGATAGTAGTGATGTTGTGTTCGTGGTGTTGTATTGTTATTGGTGGTGGTGGTGGTGGAGGTGGTTGTGGCGGTGGCGACGAGATGAAGAGTATTTGTGATTTTGGTTTTGTAACTAAAAATATAATCCGTAACCTTTAAATTCGGTAATCTGTGACTAAAAATATAATTTGTGACCAACCATTTTTTTATCTCAGAGCGGTATGAGTGGTGCATGTGGGATGGGTTAATTATATTATATATTTATATTAGAATTAAATATTTAATAATAAATTGATTTAATAATTTATTATTTCATAAATAAAAATTAAAAAAAAAACCTGACTTTTGAATTTTCAAACTATAAACCTGATTTTTGAATTGGTGTAAAGTATACACCTTATTTATGAATTTTTCCCTTAATTATCTCTCCTCCTTTTAATTTATACTTTAATATTTTATTTGCACCCATTTTAAATTTAATTGCATGCAAGGTCCTCAAGCTTTTTTATTATATCATTTATGTTTTAAATTTTTTCGTCAAATTTTTATCTTCAAACTTTAATTAATTAGCACACCTCATTGTTTATAATGATTTCTACCAAAATATTCCATTTGCTCTCTTTGAAATTAAGATAAACTATTATGTCGCACTTTTGTATTTATTGCCAATTTTACAACATCCCAATGGCCCTTTTGGAAGAAAACAATTACTATCAAGTTGAAAAAAAAAAAAAAAATCTTGACGAAAAAAAAAAGTTAAGGACAAAAGGACTATAATGAGCAAACCTTAGGAACCTTGGGTGCAATGAATTATGGTGCAACAAGTAAAATATGTGATTTGAACATAACTACTCATAGTTTAGGCTATGTTTGAGCCCCATTTTTATCAAAAAATCTGTTTTATGACAGTAATTTTTTTTGGAGAATATGTGATTGAGAAGTAGGAAAATATTAGAATTTACGTGTAAAATTACTTTACTAGGAGAACGCGTGATCGAAAATAAATTTGAAAAAAATATATGAATTTTTATATAATACGGCTCAAACATGGGCTCAATTCAATGATCTCCCGAATTGCAAGACCATTTTGAGGATTCCTAGTGAGTTGTGTTTATATAAATGTTTTGAATCGGAAATATTCATTTGAAAAAAGTGAAGAGTCGATCATCATAGGATCAAACATATATTTAAAAAAGGTAAATTGCACTGTTTGCTTTAAGGGGTAAAGTCATTTTGTACAGAAAACATGTACACATGATCGTGTGACAAAAAACAATCATACTACATGTACAATGATAGTTGACAATATTTGTTGACAATTATGACTTGACACCATCACATTCACACATTTCAAAAAAATTCAAAAACTGTTTTTAAATCAATTGTTCAGATTTTGTCACATCTAACATTGTCAACAAATTTTGTCAACCATCATTGTACAAATAGATTAATTCGACAAAAAATGAGCGGCTAAATTAATTGTGTTTGTTATGAAAGATGGTGTGAAATCTCGTCAAATGTAAATTTCGTAAACAAGAGCATAAACGAGGATGTACACGTAGCATGATTGTTGTTTTCAGAGTCGGCTCAATGTATTAGGTGACTTAGACTCGTGTAAGGTTCTCGATTCGTGAGAGACCCTCAAATTTTTAATTACTTTTATATATTTTTTTTTAAACAAATGCGATAATTTTTATAAAGCCCGACAAACATCGACCTATCCTATTAAAAAAAAAACTAATAAAACCACAAATCATTTGATTCATTTTATTAGTTTCAAGAATCAAGACATGTATTCCTTTTTTTTTAACGGTTTATTCCCAACGGTGAAGACTGTCTCTAAATCGTCCCTTATCGCAATGAAATCAATTAAACCCCAACTTATTTTACTGTTAAACATGCAATCAATGTAGAACCCATTTTCTTGGAAACGTTTTTGACTCAAGATAAATGTTTCTTTTGGGAGAAATTGTTTGAAGTAATAAATAACTTTTTGAGATTAGTTGATTAAAAAGTAATTAACGTATGAAATTATTTTATTAAAATAATTTGAAGTTGAAAATGAATTTGAATTTGAAAGAATTTTAGATAAAACATGTCAAGCATATTTTATTTGTATTCGCACATCAATAGACAATTTTTTAAATTAACATTGTTTTTGTAATTTTCTATTGAAATATTGAAACACGTTTTTAAATTCACTCACGTTTAGAAATTTTAATGTTTTCTTACGTAAGAATCTTAAAACGTGTAGGGTGGAAAATAGGGAAGGCAATAAGAGTGACAAGTGAATTGAACTATTTGATTCACAATATAATTCTACTCAATAGCCTTAAACGAACCATTAGACGGAACTCTCTGAATAACAATATGTTCAATGTACTTGCTTTGAAAAGGGTTACAGCAAAATCAAGAAAGAAAATCGCCAAAAAACAAAAGAAAAAAAGAAATTCTAAGGAAACAAACATGTTTTATGCACAACACTTCAGTTCAATAAAACAACTGTCCTCAATATATTATGTAAAGTGTAATAAAATTCTAATAGATATTTTCATCTGCAGAATATATATTACCATTTTCATCCTTAAATCTCACTCTGTTTTTCGTATTGTCACAACCCCCTGGACTTACGTATCCATCAATGCTAACAGGCCTCGAATCCATTCGACTGGAGGTTTCGATGTACCTGCTACTGCTTGAACTTGAACAACAATCTGTATCAAAAATTGAACTGCCTTTATCCTCTTGTTCATTGTCCATATGTCGATTCAGATCTTCGTTGGGTTCACTTGTGGATGGGATACGGGCTGAAAGAAGCTTAGGAAGGGCGCCACCTGATGGAACCATTGCTAAAAAACTGAGAGCAGCCACAACGTCGCCTATAAAAGGACGAACTGATGGATCCTCCTGAAGACACATGGCTGCAATTCCAACAGCTTGATTTAAGCTCGTCATCGGAAATTCCCGACTAAGACGTGGATCCGCCATTTCTGGAAATCTCTTCGGGTCTCTGAAAAAATATTGTGCCTGTTCGATTATTCATATGCACAATGCTGAATCAGTTAGACAAATGCACTGTGTATGATTTGATATAGTCTGGCGACTAACGTGAAAGAGCAAATCATGATTGAGTTTACGTACCCAAGTAACTAAATTTTGCTCATCTACTGGTCGTGAGTTGTCAAAGGCCCTACGTCCCGTGATAAGCTCTAATAACACAACTCCAAAACTGTATACATCCGATTTCAGTGACAATTCACCTTGTCTTTCGTACTCCGGTGCTGAATAACCGTAAGCTGCCATGACCCTTGGTGTTACATGCATCTTATTTCCACTCTGTACGAGCTTGGCAAGCCCATACTGAGAGAGTCTAGGGTTCAACTCTTCATCCAACAGTATGTTTGAGGATTTTAAATCACGATATATGATTGGGGGATTGCCCTTCTCATGTAAATATTCAAGTCCTTCCGCAACACCTGAAGCTATTTTCATTCTAGCCGACCAATCTAATAATTCTCTCTCTGTTGAAGCGTCTACAAAGATAAATAAAGAATCTATTTAATATCAAGAGAACAACATCATCAATAAAAGTTAAGGTCTCATAGTAACAGATTATTGCATGTTCTTATTAGCATTTAGTATCGAAACACTAAGCTTTGCATACAAAAAAAATACCGAATAGGTAATCATCTAGAGATCCCGATGGCATGTATTCGTATACCAAAAGCCTTTGCTCCCCATCAGCACAATATCCAATGAGAGAAACCAAATTCGGGTGGCAAAGGAGACTCAACATCAAAACCTCGACTAGAAACTCTTTAGTTGCTAGTGTCCCGCTCCTGTCCAGTTGCCTCACAGCTACAACCTATTCAAGATTAGAAGAAATTTAAGGTTGTCTTGTTTAACAGTCATGGGGGCCTAGTTGTTGAAGTTAAAATAAAGAGAAGTTGGTAATCTGCATTACCTGGCTGCTTGGCTGAAGTCTCCCCTTAAATACTCGTCCGAATCCACCTTCACTCAATAGACATTCTTGACGAAAATTCTTCGTTGCAGTGGCAAGTTCACGGAAAGTGAAAATCTTTGCGGCATTATTTCCATTTTCTACTGCACCATGAGCTTCAGCATTGTTGCTATTAGCCTCTGCTAATGGAATTTGCTTGCTGTTTACTGGAGAGAGAGAGAGAGAGGAAACACAGTAAATTCTCTGAATCTTTCAGCATTTTCTCCCATCATTTTTTCCACCGTATATATTATGGCATGTTTAGTCGGGAGGATGTAACTTCTTCCAGCATTGTCGTATGTAAAAATATTTTCTTTCTAACCTTTTTTTTAGCTATTCATTTGTTACGAAAGGCAAAATTAGTTGAGTACGACACGCCATTGATTCGTTGAACAACTAAAGAAGACCCATTTTCCATCAGAGTTGAGGTCGACATTTTACATTAATTCAACATAGAGACGTACCAGCAGGTGGGTTTGGCGGAATGATCTCTTTGGCCTGAGCAACTGCCTTGTTTTTCCTGCAAAGTTTCCTAAGTCGTAAACACGGGAAGCATCTCATTTCTAGGCTGACGCTTTCCAATATCGAAAATATAATTGAAAAACAGAGAAAAATATCGAATGAAACAAGAACAAAATCCCCTTAAAGATGGCAAAGTTATTCAGAAAAATACATATATCTCATTATGCAGAAGGGTGTCGAAAAAGAAAAAATGCACGGGAATGGGGATGGGTCCTCCAGGAAGAATTGAAGGACCCCAATGAAAATGGCAACAAAGTACGAAAATCTCGAGAAGTGATTCATATGTATAAGAAGATAGACGCCATGTTTATTGTGAAGAAGAATTTTTTCATTGAATTTTCTCTCAATCCACTCCGGAGAAAAAGGAGGAGATTTGAATGGACATTTTTCAACTTCATACAACGTGGGATGGAGTGGGAATATGGATCCCAATTCTCAACAACTTTTTGAAATCCTATTTTGGTATGGAAATAAATTAAGCACATGTTTGATAGAAATTTAATTCGAGTTCAAATCAATAATTAATTTTGATCACATGTTTCATATGATCCATAACTTTTCAACAATACATTTCATCTACTTTTATTAAAATCTACTAAAAATCTGATTTTAATTCCCACAAAACCTGAGCTAATTTTCGTAAAATTCTTCTAAAAATTGATAATTACCATTAAGTAATTTACTGTAATATACTTGATAAAATTTTCCATTACGATTTTTCCCGTAAATTGAATTATCATTATGGGATTGTAGAATAGCAAGATAATACAACGCGAATCACGATTTTAAGAATCTCGATCTCAAGCATACTCCCACAGTTTTCTTTCCCTTTTTCATAATGTATTGCAAAGGCACCAAAATTTTCATACGCAATTATGAAAGATGTTTTATGAATTCTCTTTATTGAAGTTAAGAGTCGGAAATTTGATTTTTTCTATTGAGAAAGTACTTCCGTTCGGAATACCAACACCAAATTAAAGAAAATTATTTAATGCCCTATCATGGTATTCTATAAGTATAAAATCTAATTATTTAGTTCTCTAGAAGATTTGGTTCAACGTGCCACCATTTTCTCTTTAGAATTTGTTTCAATTGGATTACTTGGATGCCATAACGGTTGATGTCTAGTTTTAAACACTAATTACGATTATAGAAAGCCATCATGCTACAGTGCCATTCTGATTAATAGAAAGGTTGACATAAAGCCACATAACAATCTATCATTAGACATCATTTCCATTCATCTAGGAATCTGTCAACCTCTATGTCGCAATTCACCCGACATAGTGGTTTAATCTTTTTTACCATTTTAAGTAAATTTATTTTTATTATAAGAAAAAATAAAAAATATTTTACCAAAGAAAAATATTCGTTTTGAAAATTTGTAACTGTTCAGTATGGATTAAAATTTCAGATTTTAATATAAATGAAAATCAATAATCAATTGTAATCACACGTCTTAATAACTTTTCTTAAAATTTAATGCTAATTTTCATCCCCACTAAACGAGCTTACTTACACATATTTGGGTTAGTTTATGAATATATCAAATAAATTATGGGAAAAAATACATGAAAAATTAGATAAATAAAAAAGTTGTTCATTCTGCAACAAGACTTGTTCTCTGCTTCTGCCATAATTTCTGGGTTTCCGAGGTAGTGTCTGTTCACTGAGTGGCGAGTCATGAGTTGTCTGCAACTCACTCCCAAACCATTTCTTCCCCGAACTCACCCAAAACTCAGAACGGCGGCGTTTCGACCGAACTCACACAGATTCAGCGTTCATCTCAAGCCCCCTTTACACTGTTTCTTCTCCAAAGTTTCCTGTTCATTGAACTCGCCTTCAGAGAAAACCAATGCAGAAAAGGCGGCGTTTATTCATTCCTCACAAAACGCCGACGTATTAGTCGACTCAGAGACACAAAATGAATCCCTGAATTTTGAAGTGAGAATTCCCAGCGTTCCAGCTAATATAATTCCAGCTCCCAAATTGAGTTTGAGCGACAAAGCTTTCTTTCTACTGGCATTCATTGCTTGCACGGTAAAAATATACTTCTTTTTTTTTTCTTAATCTTAAATTAATTAAAATTTCAATTTCTAAAAATTGAACAGTTTTTTATTTTTTGATAATCTTTCTATGAATAACTTTTTATTGAATTTGACAATGAATGTTAACACATGCAGACTTCCGTTGCATTCACGAGCTTAGTAGTTGCTGCTGTTCCGACATTATATGTAAGTTTTTCTGAATTTTATTAGATGGAGTTTAGTTATGTTCTAATATGCTTTTGGATCAAATGCATTATTGATTCTATACTTTGGTAAAGAAGGGGTTCTTATGATATTTTTTTGCATCTGCTTCTGTCATTTTGTTAATGTAGTTTGGTGTATAGACGAGACTTTAGCTTATTTTTGTTCTTTGGTACTGTCCAATACTTTATGGACCTGTCAAGCTATAGCCATACATTACAAATCCATCCAAGGGCATAAGCACGTTGAGATGGATTAGAACCGAAAAAATTGAACAAAAATAGTAAGACAAACTTTATCCCCAATGAGGTGGCTATCTCCCAGCTTGGATGTTCGTTTTCCTTATGTTTACCTCACCGCGCCCGCAAACCCCCATTTCAAAATAATTAACACTTTAGAGAAGGAGCTGAATAAGAACCAAACCGGTCCAGTGAGGCTTGGAGAATGAAGACTGGAGGTTTACTTCTTTTCTTTGTGCTGCAGGCAATGGGAAGGGCTGCAATCTCTCTTTCAAAATTGGCTGATACTGCTCGTGAGGAGCTCCCCAGCACAATGGCTGCAATCAGGCTTTCTGGCATGGAAATAAGTGATCTCACTCTAGAATTGAGTGACTTAAGGTAACAAGTTAAGCGATTAGTAGCATGTTATTTTCATTCTAGCATATGTCCATTATGAGGAATGTTTTCCGCCTTTGTTTTTACATTCATCATAAGAGCAGGGAGTCCTTTTCGGGGGAAAATTAATCTCGAGGAATGT